TTTAAATAATCTTCTACAGAATATTCAGGATCTGTTCCTGTGAAAACCATTAGTGGTTTATTTGATGTTATTGATGATCCACCCATAAGGTATGGATTCATTGTCATTTGTAGTGATTCTGCGGCATTTGGCCTTTGTGAAAAATTTGAAAGTTGATTCTTTGTTATTTCGTGTTGTTGAAGATAATATGGGAGTGGTATTTCGTTTTGCATTTGAGTTGGTTGGTACGAGTGTGTGATCGTTGGATTTTGTGGTTGAATTGGTTGAAAAGATTGTGTATTAGTTGGATTTTGCATTTGTATTGGTTGTTGATTTCGTGTTTCTGTTGGATTTTGAGAAAAAATTCTATTATATGTATAAGGTTTTTGTGCTCCTTGTCCGCGATATTCTTGGATATACGGTGCAAAAATATCTGGTTGTAAATAATCGTCATCAGATGATAAGTAATCCGTATGATGAGGTGCTTGCTTTTTTTTGTTGAAAAAATGGGTAATTTTCACTGCGATCCTGTGGGGGATGTGAATTAGTTTGAAAATTTACTGAGTTGGCTGTTGTCATTGGGTTATTCCAATGATGAGAACTTATATGATTATTATCAGGTTTTCGTGGGGGATAATTTGTTTTTGACGAATGTGCGTAGTTATAATTGTGTTCTGCAAAAGTGTTTCTTGTGAACGTTCTTCGTGTTTTTGACGGTATTGTCGTAGGTCTATATGTTTGATAATCCATATGTGAATATTTTGGAGCAACCGAAGGTTTAACGGTTGATTGTAAGGTTACTTGTGCCGTTGAAGTGTTTGTATTTTTTGGTGTTGTTAAATTTGGACGTATTGGTGAAATACTTTGTTGTGTAGTTGTTGTTGTTTGGACGATTTCTTCATTTATGAAGTGTGATGGTGTTTGAATATCTTGTTGTGTTTGTGTAAGATTTCTAGTTCCATTAATGTTTTCATTGTGTATGACGGTCGAATTTAAACTATTATTTCGTGTATCAGGTAAAAATGTATTGTATTTCAATGGTGTTGCATCAATGGTCAATGGTACTACTCTCACATAATCTCTTTGATAAGATATTGTACTTATTGCTTGACTTGAGATTGATTGTGGGATATTTATAAATGCATGATGAGACCATTCTGGGTCCCAAACGTAATCTGATTGTTCTGTGATGGCAGTATCATCGTTTGGATTTTGAGGTCTAAAATTTTTTCTTGCTTGTGAAATTAAGTCTATATTATGTGTGAAATAATCTATCATAAACCATGCCAAAATTTTTTGTAAATCATGTTTTGTGTGTTGTGAAACATCGTCTGTAGTGAAATTTTCTTTGATTATATGTAGAAAAGTTGAAAATAATGTAATTTCATTTCGTACTTTTATATGTTTGGATGTCTCAGTTGGTGAGATACTTTGAATTTCTGTTTTTTCTAATATTGAAATGTAGCTATATATTATTGCAAAGACTTCGTTAGTGAATATAGAATTTGCTCTTTGTGAGTTATGGTATTGTATGCTTTTAATATATTCTAAGAATACTTTTGAAAATTCTAATTCAAGATCGTCGGTTTGAATTACATATTTGCGATGATTCGGATTTGGTGTGCTGAATTCTATGGTGTAGATTCCGTATTGTTGTGTTAAATTACATATATCTTTCAGATAATGTTCAATAATTTGTCTTTTGATTTTTACATCTGGGAATTCTGCTTTGCATGGACTGATTCCGGGTTCAAACAAATTTAGGAGTAAATTCTTGCAAAATATATGCTGCCCTCTATCATTGGGTGCATCTACGAGGAAGGGGTAAACTTCTTCGTCATCTGGACTTTCGTCACTTTGAGTGTGGCTGTGGCTCATTTTTTCGTTTAATGACTGTTAATATATAACTATCAATGTGCCTAATTGGTTGATTCCAATTATACAAGTGTACTGGTTTGTGTTTATATTGTTTTTTATTCTTCTTTTTCCTCTTTTTGATGAATTTGAAGTTGTTTCTGAGTCGGAAAAATATAATTGATCGTGGATAGGACAATTTTTGTCAATCGATTCTTTTAATTTATAGAGTTCATCTAAATTGCTGGCTTCTGATTCTGAAAATGCGTTTCTATTTTTTGAAAATCTTTTTCGTGTGATTTGTCTTTGTTTGTTTATTATTTTTCTTTTAATTGTTAGTCGTTTTGTTCTAATATATCCAACTGTTTGTGTATGAGGTGTGATTACAAGATCGTTTTTTTTGTTATCTATTTCGCAATTGTGTAAAACGATTGTTTGTTTATTTCCTAGATTTTTGACATAAGGTTTAGGATGAGGGATGCAAAAAGTTGTTAGATGATGTCTACTTTTCTTAAACTGTTAGTCCTTACGATTTTTTGGTTAGCCTAACCTGGGTCTTTTTGTTCAGGGTTGGAGAGAAAAGTATATCGATTCCGAAGAATGATTTTTTACTTTCTCGTGGCTAGTATAAGCTAAGGTGTTAACTTACTTAATCTTACTTAGGGGTAGTGATTGTGTTCAAGGGTTGGAGAATAGTAAATCGATCCACAAGGTTCAGGTATAATTAGAACGCGAGTAGTTCGTTAGATACTATTTTAAACTTACTAAGTCTAAGATTTATCCTGGGTCTGGTAAGAGGAGGGTTCAAGTGAAGGATGAGTAACCGAAGTTCTTCACTGTTTATCCTAATTTGAATGGTTAGTTTTGTTGAAAAATTTCTATTAGTCTTGGGTTTTTTGGAAGGGTTGGATAGTGAATCGACGTTTGAGGTCGTTAGACACTTGCTAAGTGGGTGGGGGAGAACAAAATTGATTTTTTGATCCAAGGATTGGCCTTGATGATCAAGTTTTAAATTTAGTGAAATAGAAAATTAATTAAGATCCAAGGATAAGCCTTAATGATCTGATTTTAAAATTAAGTGAATTTAAGTTTAAAATGGTTTAAATTTATTTAAGAAAAAGATTTAGTTTTTTAATGATATTAGTGAGCTTATGATTGCTGTTATGTTTAGGTGATGAAGCTGGGACAACAACTGATTTTATAATTACTAACAATTTATTGTCATTCTACTAATTTTTGTTTTTATTTTCAATAAATATTTTCCAAACATGTTTTATATAAGACTGCAGAATTTAAGAAAACGATCTGAGATCTTTTTATCAATCGTTATTGTATATTAATAATTTTGTTTAGCGCCTGTAATGATCATGAAGTTTTGTCTTCAAAATTTTATGTTTGCAAATGAAAATCTAAATTCATTGCTAATAAGATTCTAAATATAAAAGTTTGTGTTGGCTTTTGCCGTACAATCATATAACTATATGGTAAGTTTCTACTTTGTCGTATGTCGTCTCTTGTTCGAGGTCTTCTTGCGATTCCGGGTAGTTCTGCTATCGTTCGGAATATCGGCTCTGATCTACTGAGTTGTAGAGACATTTCGATTAAATTATCGTCGTATAACATTTTTTAAATGTTTTGTCTAAATTCTAATCTATTTTTTTTTTGGTTAAATCTAAGCTATTAAGGTCTATTCGAGACTTATGGTCGCACCAGATGAGTTAGGACCGATGTGGTTAACTCATAGAGTAATTTCGGATAGGGTACACCGTCTGCTCGTCACGCTATCTTATTTTCGGCCGGATAGATTCGTGCAACTTCTTAGTCTAATACCGATCCTAATCTTACTCTTATACTTACTAGTCTCAGGGTGTTTAACTAGTCTCTGCTAGGCTCAATAGATCTAGGGTATACTGGTTTGTTGCGGCTGCTGAAGTTCTCTCGGAGAGACAACTAATTCCTAAGTTAAATTCAAATCTCTCTGGTGCTGAAATTACAAGTAATTTCAGCACTTACAAATAAGTGGGTTGTTAGTTAGATGGATCATGATTGGTTAATATTAAATACTTTACAGTGGTAAAATATCTAATTTATCCAATCATAAAATATAGTTTAGATCAGGTTCCATTAAGTTCAATTCAAACTCTTTTACTTAAAGGAAGGTAACTTTTTAAGACTTTACCGCGATAAAGTTTTTCTCGAAAGTCGGAAAATGCCAATCATTTTTTCGGCTGTCTGTTGGCTGTTTCTTTTCGTTTTTGAAATTGGATTCTTTCCACCTTCGTCCTAAACAATTTCATTTTATTTAGGTAATATCTGTGGCGGCTAAAAGTTCTCCTGACTTTTGTGTTTCCTCATTGATAGAGGTGTATAGTGATTAATTACTCTAGTGAGTTTGAAGTTAACGAAAACTTGCTGAGAAATTGGTCTTTGTTGTCTTTTACCCGAATTTAGTGATAATTTCCAATATTTTTTTAAACTAATGGATCCGTTTATTTTTTTTATAAATGGAAAGACTAAACCACAGCGAGTACTTTAAAGAAATTGTTACTTTTTAAATCAAAAAGCGAGTCTACGAAGCAAACAAGTGTGACCATTTGTTGAGCAAGGAGAAGCAAATTGTCTCGCGCTAAGTTTAATTGCAGTTTTTTTTCCAAGATTAAAATTTAAAATGTTACACGTGATTTTTGCAGTTTTTTCATTTTTTGATCTGCTTTAATATTTTTTATCTGAAAAACAGAAATTTTCAAACCAGTTTCTCTGTTCACACAAAACTTCTAAAAAGTTTGTGTTAGAATCCAAATGCTGATCGGCTGCGAAATTTTGAGATACCACCTGAAGTTGCGAGTAAAAAGATAGTTTTTATGTTTTCGGTCCTTCTCATTTTGTCGGAACTAATAGTGTCAATGAGCTTAGCTATAATTAATAATAAAAGCTAAGATTCCGTTGCCGGTTTATAAAATTTTAACCTAGAACATGAGAGTATTAAAAGTATTAAATTCTTCCAAATGTTTTACACGTTAAAAAAAATAAAAAAATTGTTGTCAAAAATGGTCGAATGATTTGTAAATCTTAAATCTGAAAAGCGACGAATGAAACCTTGTAACTATTGCGATGATCAAACTTCAAACAATTGATGACAAGTAAATGTGTTGTTGTTGAATGTTTAGAGGTGACGCAGGTGAATCTGGTGGAGTCGAACCCCACTCCACTGGGCCACCAGCTGGTGAGTCAGAGGAGGACCAACCACAAGAGTGACCCACATGACCTTGTTGCTCTGGCACAGTCTGTACAAACTGTTAGTATCACCATCGGTTGTTTCTTATACAAGCGAAGCAAACTTTCTTTCTAAAAGGGAGGAAACTTTAAAAGCCTCACAACAATTCGCACTTTTTAATACAGGCTTGAATATTTTTGTTTATTTGTTCTGTTGTATCAGCTGAGAGATGTACAGAAAACGCAATGTCAATTAGTTTTGATGTATAGATATTTTGTCCGTCTAGCCGTTTTCCAGTCCTTCAACCACAGATCAGAACAACTTATTCATGTTCGAACAAACTATCAAGGTTATTGCAGCGACAAACGGTTGATTAATAAGGAGTGAATTAATGAGGTTTGAGTGACAGTTCCAGTAGCAATTCAGATCAAATATATATGGTAAATCACCCGCACAAAATTGTTCGAACCAATGACTAAAAGTCATGTTTCACCATCTAATTTCAAAAAACGGGAAGTGATCTTTCAGTTTGAACCGAATAAGAAAGATCAATTCCTGTTCAGTTAGGAAAAATCACCAATACCCCGCCTTTCAAATTAGGTGGTTCCTAGTAGAGTGTCTCAGAAAAATGCAGTTTTGCGTCTTAACAAGTTTTTCGTCAATGCGTCTGCAGGCATGCGTCTGCAGGTAATGTCACCCACTCCTTAATGTCACCTTCTCCTGTTCAACTAACTCTCGAAGGAAGTGTAGTTTAATGGCAAATGCTTCGTCTTTCCGTGGTTCATTGAATGTTTACTAAGGGCAATACAAGCTTGGTTATCAACGAAAACTTCGAAAGTCCTGTTACAGATTATGCCTAAGTCGCTAAGTATGCCCTGTAAATGAATTCCTACCTTAACTGTTTCGACCACAGCATTGTGTTCTGCTTCGGCTGTTGAAGTTGATACACAACGCTGAAGTCTGCTAGACCAACTTATTACACCTGAGTTGTCACTGAGTTTAAAACAATATCCTGAGGTACTTCTCCTTTTGTCTATATTTCCAGCCCAGTCCGCATCCGAAAATCTAACAAGATTCGACGCCTTATCCCTCCTTTATACTAAAGGTAAGCTTTTTGTTCGTAGCAGATATCTTAGACAATTTTTTTCCGGCTTTCCAATGCTTTTCACCTGGGTTTTCTACAAAAGAACTTAAAAGAATTGCTGCAAAGCAAATGTCGGGTCTACTTGACAAAGCTAGGTAATTTAGACAACCAACAAGTCCTCGATAGTCACGTTTTTTCATATTTTCTTGTTCTATGCTACCTTCTAAAGGACACTCTTCTTTTGTCAGTTTTTCGTTTTCACCAAGAGGGGTTGTTATCGGTTTTCCTTCGGTCATCTTAAATCTTGATAACAATTTTTCAACATATTTCTCCTGACTTATCCTAATTTCGTTTCCTGAGTAATCAATTTTCATTCCTAAGAACTATTTAAGATCACTTATCTCGCTTATCTCAAATTTTTCGGAGATATTGTTTTTAAACCAGCTACAGAAATTTTTGTCCGCTCCACAAACCACTATATAATTGACCCACAAGCAAATTAAACCTTCTATTTCTCCCTCAATCCTCCTAACAAACAAGCACTCATCAAAAACTGAATTTTCAAAGCCTAATTTCTCAAGATAGCTTTTTAGAGTCCTATGCCAGTTTTTACTGGACTGCTTCAGTCCATAAAGTCTTTTCTTCAGAAGACAAACTAAAGGTTTTCCTTGTTCATCAAATTTCTCGAACCCTTTAGGTTGCTTCATAAGACTATCTTCATCTAGTTTGGCATTCAAGTATTTAGTTTTAATGTATAACTGTCTCAACTCATACCTATTTTTAACTGCTAACCTCAGGACTATTCTTATGGTCGACATCTTGGTTGTAGGCGAATACATTTCGTGAAAATCCCTTCCATCAATTTGGCTGAAACCTTTAGCAACAAACCTAGCCTTAAACCTGGAAATTTCACCATGAGGTCCCTACTTCAAAGCAAAATGCCATCTGCTGCCTATAGGCTTCTCTCCTCTATTTCTAACTAGTTCACAAACTTTGTTTTTCTCTAATGAATCAAACTCATTGCTTCTTGCCGGTCGGGGTCTGCTAAAGCTTCCTTTCCACAAAACTATACGCTACACACCCAAAAGTTTCCACAAAATTCAGGTTGGGTTTTTCTCCATACATAGACTCGTAGGGTGTTTTGCCTATTGCAGAATGAAAGTACATTTTTTTGAGATTAGTAGCATTATTAAGAGCATAAGGCCAATAAGTTTTCGATAAATTGGCATCAAAAATTATGCAGCGAGCCATTGGAGTAATTGTTCCCCAAACCTTTTCTATCTTTCCGATCTCTTGAGGGGTATAAGGAGGCGATGTTTTCAGTCTTATTTTTTGTTTCCTACAAACTTGCTTAAAATCCTGCCCAATGTACTCTCCTGCGCTATCTGAAATTAAAGTCTGAGGGACTCCTATGTTTGCTATGAAACTTTCCATTTTTTCTGTTGCCCCATCTCTCGTCTTCATGAAATAAATTTTTAGATATCTAGAAAAACTGTCCGCAAAACATATAGCATACCTATGTCCATCCTCTGCTATTGGGTGGATAGGACCCAAAATATCTATGTGAACAATATCTAGTGTCCTGGTTGCCCTGGTGTAAGAATCTTTCGGGACTGGCTTCTTTTTTGCTTCATTCAACTCACAAGTTTCACAATTCTCAATTTTAAAATCTTTTATCTTCATGCCTTCAACAGGTTGCTCCAAATGACAATCTTTGTAGTTATTATGACCCATCCTGCAATGCCGCTGTTTCAATGTGCTAACTACATAACACTCGTCTTTTCCTACAAAAGTGTCCCATAAAAAGAGACCACTTTCCTCTCTTAATAGGTAAACTGAACCATTTCGAACAAGCGAGCTCGCACCAAAAACGAACAAACGAGCTCGCACCAAAAACAACTTCTGCTCCTGCTTTCTTTATTTTTGATACACTCAGCAAATTTCTTGAGGTTTCAGGAACGTACAAAGTATCCTTCAGCTCAATCATATTAAACTCGCCTTCCTCATCTTCCTCTCTGATTCTAACTTCATCTTTCCCTATAATTTTTGATTCAGAGAAATTTGCATTGCTAACCGATCCTTTGAAGTTCTCATCTAAACTAACAAATATGTCTCGATCCTTAATCATATTACTGATAGCTCCAGAGTCTACAACTAAGTCCTCGCCCGGAGACACTCCACTCAGTAAACTTAAATGAGCCTCTGTTTGAGCTGCTAGGTTCTGCTGTTCTCGTTTAGTCTTACTAATGAACTTTTTCTTTGCCTGGCAATATTTTGCAATATGTCCAAACTCCTTGCACTCATAGTACTGAATTTTTCGAGCTTTGTCTTAACATCTCATCTGCTGCCTAAGTTTTCTCTGCACTGTTTTAACTCATGTCCTCTTTTATGACACTTGAAACAAACTCTATTCTCGCTATTAAAAGCATGCTCTTTTTCAATTACTTGTCTCTCGCTATCAAAATTCACTAAATCTCTTTTCAACTCATCTAACTTTTCTCATCTCTAATAAACTTAGCTATAGTAGAAAAAGTTTCAAACTGTTTTGGAAGTCCTTTCAAAATAATTCAAATTAACATTTTTCACTCACTCCTTCGTTCACTTGTTCTAAGTTATACTGAATCTCCTCTGCTCTAGTCAAATAATCTATCACTGTTTCATTGCTCTTCTTTTTCAAATTTGTAAGTTCGGAGATTAGTTTTTGCAGCCTGGGTCTTTCAAAACTTTTAAATTTTTTCCGTAAAACATCCCAAGCTTTGTTACCATTGCCTTTATAAGGTCTTAAAAACAAAACTGATTTCTTATCTAGAGCCTGCACAAGTTCGTACCAGATATGCAACTGTTTCTTTTCAAAAATCTCTTTTTCTTTATCTATTACAGCTTGTTTTTGATCACTGCTTGCATTCGGTCTTAAACTTGGCAAAAAGTTTCTATAATCAACTGTCTCATCTAAAATCTTGTTTAACTTCAAGTGAAAAATTCGTGCCTCGAGTTGCTGTTCAAAGTAGGAAAAATCTTCTTCTTTTCCCAAAAAAATGATCCTATCATTTTTTGACATTTCTTTTCTAATCCATGTTCTTATTTTCGACTTAATTCTTACACAAAGGTTAAGCTCCAATCCAAAACTCAAAAAGTTAAGTATTGCCCTAGGTAAAGTTCAATGACCCCGTTTTCTCTTACATCAAAATCATATATTTTAAACATCAATATCGCCCGCTTATATAATTATGCAAGTATATTTGATTACCTAAATCTGATTTGGAACCTAACGGAGTGCGTACCGAGTAACACATCAGCAAATTAGCAAAGCTAAGGCCCCTCCTCAGATTTCGTACTAGCAAAATAGAAGTTCGTCTTTTTATTCTGGGGTATCAGTTTCTTTTTCTTTTAATGGCAATGTGTTCTTTGGATTGATTTTGTGTCGGATTCGAGCAACCGCGTACGAACGAGTTTATCCCTCCGCAAAAATTGAGTATAAATCAGCAACTTTTATAAATAAAACATGTAATGTATCAGTTTGTTTCAGTTTTCTTTCACTATCAATAGTGTAGTGCTTCTTCCACTGCTGTGCTCACTCAGTGCCCCGTCGTGTAGCTTTTGACCGTCTTCTCTTCTCTGTTGTGTTTCCCTGCTTCTATCGTCAGAGTTGTCTATCGCTAGAAGTTGTGTTGCCCTGCTTCTGTCGTCAAAGTTGCATGTCTCTACTAGTTGTGTTGCCCTTCTTCTATCTTTCTACTTCTCTGTCTGATCAATCGTCTCTCTCCAAGTAGTTTTGGCCGGCTTCTATTCTCGCAGTTCTCTAACTGATCAGTTGTATATTTCAAGTTGTGTTTTTTCACTGTCACAGCTCCACTGCAAATCTCCGTTTTTTTCTTATTCTTTTGAACAAACAGTCAATCTTGACTCCTGACTTCACACTCGTGATTGGGCATCTGGGCCCATAACCTTTCAAGGTTATTGCAGCGACAAACGGTTGATTAATAAGGAGTGAATTAATGAGATTTGAGTGATAGTTCCAGTTGCAATTCAGATCAAATATATATGGTAAATCACCCGCACAAAGTTGCTCGATCCAATGACTAAAGGTCATGTTTCACCAGCTTATTTTAACAAAAGCGGGAAGTGATCTTTCAGTTTGAACCGAATAAAAAAGATCAATTCCAGTTAAGTTAAGAAAAATCACCAATACAAACGAGATAATATCTTTTCTAGGACAAAATGGAAAAAAATCCCTTGAAGTGTCCAAAAAAAGATAAGCCGGAGCGGTAATCTGTATTATTTTTACACTAGCGATCAGCGTAGTGTATTATTAGGAACCTTTTTTCTAACTTATTTTGGAAATAAAAGTGTTCATTGAAAGTGTTGTAAATTTCACTGTAGCATTGGAAATTGCATAGCGTCTGTTCTCTGCTTATTGGTGGGTAGTGTTAGTTACCTATTAAGCGTCCGTGGCTGAGTGGGAAATGATGAGCTCTTGGTCGCAGGTTCGGATCCGAGAGGTAGCCGAATTTTTGCTAATTCAAGGCTCATTCTAATTTTTCTTTATTGCACTTTAAAGAGCTGTTTTGTGTCGTATTCTGGCTAGTGTTTGCGAAGCGAAACTTCGCCTCTGTGTTCTATTACATCGCGCGCCGAGTTATTACCGTGCGGTTGCTTATTAATGGTTTTTTGAAATAACAGTAGTTAATAATAAACGTAAGTATCATTGTATACGTATATCTTTATTTCGGTCTGCTTTTTCATGGGCAAATTTTTGTTAAAGTTGCTTATTATCTTATTTATTATCCGCAGTCGTGAACCGTTTAATTGAGAGTACAATTGTGATGCAATTATCGTCTGACGGTATAGCTGTTGATGGCATTTGTATATATATATTTTTTGCTGTGACGTCTTACAGGCGGGTGACTTTGTGACCGCAGGGGCCACCAACAAACTCCTGCTGATCGCGGAGCAGATCAAGTTCCTCCAGATGCAGGCCCAGAATGTTCTAGAAGAAGCGAAGAGAGACCAGCAGCTGCACTCTGCCGCGTGTAATATGAAGAAAGTGCCTGGAAACATCTACTACCTCTATGAGTCTCAAAAGACACAGAAGCCTCACTTCTCTCTTCTATCACCGCAGGTTGGTAATACCTCAGGAGTTTTTTTTGCAATCCGCGGTCCTACTCAATGCAGTACCATCTGCTGGGGAGTCGGGATGTCATCCGTTTCGCTGTAGTCGTCCAACCATGAGTAGGAGGAGGAGGAGGAGGATGACACGGGGACAAGCGTGACCGAACTGGGATTGGAACATACGACCCTCATGTAGAGATATGCATGCTTTATCCACTCCACCGCGGCCGCTCATTTTCTTTCCACTGAGTTCTTTTCCCATGTGAAAGAATCAAATAAAAATCGAGCTTCAAACAAAAACATCTAAAAAATACAAGAAAATTTTAAGAATTATTACAAGTTTCAGACATTTTTAGCTTCTATCTTTAAGCTCAAAACATGGTTTCTGTTCAGGAATGGGGTGATTCTTGCCCTAATAAGTTCCTGGGAGCTTACAAACTAGAGTACGACATGTCATGGACTCCGGCGGATGAGATGCTCTCCAAATCAGAACCGCTCAACAAAATGATGTCAGCAGTCACAGCTTACACACATTCACAGTCTACTTCTAGTGGAGATAATGGCGGGAGCAGTGGTAGCTCTGCTAAGAGTATATTGGCATTGGCTGATTCTTCGTGAATTCAATCATAGTTTTGTATTTTGACCCAATGATGTGACAATTTGTTACCGGTGACAGTTCGTAAAAGGCAATAGTTCGTAAAAATATAGCAGAACTGATTCACACACACACTGTATCACTCGTTCCGAATGTAAGCGCAGCGGAGCAAGGTGTAGCTGCTTGACATGGTTTTTGTACTAATTTTCGTCTTTTACGAATTGTGCCCAACCTTTTAAATCCTGCTGTAGATGGTTATGATATATTAAGTGTTGTAAAAATTATTTCATATAGCTAGCATAGCATATCTTTGCGTTTCACTGTTTTTAACAAGGCCCAGAAAAGACAAACAATTGTCAAAACTTCTAGAGACGGCTTGAATCTTCCGAATTCATTTAACGTGTCTGAAATAGTTTTTGATGAAAAAAGCTATCATTTTAAAAAAAAAAATTTTGACAATTTTTTAAAAACTATTTTGAAAATTCTACCCCACGAGCGGGTACTTGGATTTTCCCCGACTGATTTTTTGAGGTTTGGATTTTTGATTCCTTTCAATTCATTTCCTCTGTTGAAAGGTAAGACAGACACCACTATCGAAGAGCAAAATTGTAAAAGGTCATAAAACCGTGATTTTGGAAAGTGGATTTTCTTTTTCAGATTTACCCGTGAAATAAAAAATTTATATAATAATTCAGTTTTCTCAAATTTGGATGTTTTTTTTGACATTTTCTAACATATATTTCCAACATATACAGAGTGATTTGTTTCTGATTTTTTGGCATCGTTTTTTTGATTTTATTTTTGTCGGCTTAGTTTCTGGTTTTTTGCACGCTAATTATACCGCTTAGTTGCATGCCACCTACAAAGTTAAAAGTAATTTGAATTTCGATTTTTTGAAATTTCAATTTTTTGATAATCACTTGTTTTCCTCTTTAAATTTTTTTAAGAGACCGATGTGCACGCTATACTAAATAAAAAGTGGTGCCCCTTTACGATGCCAAATGTTTGTATTATAGTCGACTGGTCGGATTTGCAAATTTTTATTGAATATCCAATTTATCTGATTGTCTGTTTTTTGAATGTTCTTTGATGTATCACAAAAAAAAATCACTGGCAAAATATGTTTTTTTTTGCCAGGGCATCAATATTTTCAGATTGAAAAAAAACTGTCGAAAATTGTTATTGAAAAAGTCGAATCAAATTTTGCCTGGAAAAAACCACCTGAGTACAAATGTTTCTTAATTTATAGGTTGCTATTGCTGAAAGCAGGTATGAGTCGCAGGAGCGTATCTATAGATTCAAGATGAAGAAGTCACCTGTATATTTTGGTTGAAAATAAATTCTATCAAAAATACCCCATTTGATATTGGTTCCAAAATAACACAATATCCCATCTTTTATATTTTTAAATGCGGGCTTGACTATCTCACCACATTTAAGCTATATCGTATAATGCAATAGTTTAAATTTTTTTTTTCAATTTTCCGATTTGAATTCAGTGTTTCTTTCGCCGATTTTTACACTAGCCAGCAGCTAGTGTTTTAGTACGAACCTTCATTTTTTTCTAACCAAACTCTTTTGCTTTAATCACGATCTAGCACTTGAATTTTCATAGCATCTGTTCTCTGCTTGATTTTTGGCTAATGTTTGTGATTTATTAAGCGTGATGGTTAGTGCGTTAGACTCATAGTCTCTAGGTTGCAGATAGAATCCCAGACGTCACCGATTTTTTTTTTAAATTCGAGGATTATTTCTACTTTTTATTATTGCTTTGTAGTTGGGTACTGTGATGATACTCTCAGGAGTTCTAAATCTTGCATACAAATGCGACTGCCCAAATGCTCTAAGTCTCCGAGATGTGACGTTTTTTGTCTTTTTAAAGTTGTTCTAAAAACTTCACAAAATTTGAAGTTACCATCTTTATAGTGAGGCTTTGTCAGAGTACTCTCAGGGGTTGTGAATCTTGCTTCCAAATAGGACTGCTCAAATTCTTGTAGTTTTCAAGATATGAGTTTTTTATGGTTTTCCAGGAAAGTTTCAGAAAACTTTTCAAAAAAATGAAAATCCCAACTCTAGTTGGTTACTGTGAGGGTACTTAAAGGGGTTGCAAAAAAGCGACTGCTCGTATGCTTTAAGTTTCCGAGTTAAGACGTGTTTTTTTCTTTTTCTCAAAAAATTACAAAGAACTTATCTACAAAAGATTTCACAAAATTTGAAAATCCCAACCTTATAGTGAGATAAGCTTATTGTCAGGATACACTCAGACTTTGCGAATCTTGCCCTCAAATATTTTTAGTCTCTGAGATATGACACTGAAAATATTTATTCGGGAAACTTAGCTTTAAAAAATGCTAGAAATTTGAAATTCTCAACCTTTGGATGCTCTCAGGTTACTCTCAGTGGCTGCAGATCTGGCTTCCAAATTTTTCCAAAGGCCTTATAAGTTTTCGAGATATGGCATTTTATTTGGTTTTATGAAATTTTTTTTTTAATAAAAAAATGAATGAAAAACTTTGAAAATTTGAAATTACCAACCCTGTAATTAGGTGCTGTCTGAGTACACTCAAAGGTTGCAGATCTGGATTCCAAATCTATACCGTTGTTTATGAGTTGTTAAAAATTCGAAGCACCGGAGTTGCTTTACACGCTACTACGAAATTTTGAAATGAGATGATTGATTATCATTTGTTTCAGAGTGTTGAAAATGACATCGAGTATATGTGCTCTGCTGTCAACTTACAGCTCAAGACTGTCTCTGGTATTTGTGAAGACATTTTTGGTCCACTGCTATAACACTTGCACTCTCCTATTTGTCACTGCTTGTCTTCTCAACTTCCACATAAACCTGTTCAAATTCATCGGCAAACTATTCACTCATTTGTTTTCATTCACTTTTATTGTTTCTCTCGTCTTAACTTTCGGTCTTCAGTTTATTTCTTGTTGTTGTGTTTTGAGACTGGTGAATTTTAAACCTCTGATATTCGCCCGGAATATCGATAAAGTTGTCCATTTTTTATCCAGACCGCTTACTCTTGCCACATTAATAATTTTGTCAATAGTTCAAACAAATGTGTTTTATTACATGTTTTTAGGAACGTTGCCTCATCGAAACTCAATGCTTATTATGAGTTTGGCATCTGCAGCTTTTTCGCTTCACTTTGTGATGAAGATTCTTTTTACCGATTACGGTTTCTGTAGTCCGAAATTTTTAAATCGGTTTGAGTATGTTTACGTTTTTCCAGCTGATCAGCTGCTTAGCAATTTGACTTTTTATGCCCGCCTAATTGCTATTTTATTTTCTATGGTGGCTTTTTTTTAGTCAGGTTTTCTCGCTTATCGGAATCGAAAGCCTTAATTTTCATCTATTTGCGCCTGAAAGCATGCTATTAGATCGACTATTCTCGTTTCCGGCGCTCGTCGCCGCAACCTTTTTAACTCAATTGCTGTTCAAAGTATTCGTCTATTTGTTCAAATTTTGGTTAGCTGAGCCGGTAAATACTGATCAACTGAGCTCAAAAACATTCAATCAAGTAGCTTTAGCAGACTTGAAAAGTGAAAACTATTTTGTGAAAAGAAATGCACTTGAAACTCTGAAGGTTTATCTCACAAAGTCAGCACAGTGCCGCAAAAGTGTTTATGCAGTTAGCAGTCGAACGAATGATTCAAAGTTATGGACGGAAATTTTGGGCGAAGTTTTGCTAAATGTAAGTTACCAAACGGAAAAATTGAAAAGATTTAGATTTCTTGTCAGGCGCCAAAGAATCAACAACAATCAACAAGGTGGACCCAAAGATAAAACAGTTGCAGAAATAAAGCCGAGCAGACTAGATTTTAGTCGAAATTTGACCTCTGAAAGTTTAGAGGTCACCGCTAACGGCGATGTGAAGAAGAGCAACCCGAACGTCTCCATGAGTTTTTTTGCAACTCAAGTTGCCGACCCCTTTGGTCCTTGGGACACCATGAGTCATCATAACTCCAGCGGCTATAATGTTTCGAAACAGCCGAGGGGGTTCAGACAAACAGCTGTACAAGATAGAGTTATAGCAGGGATGAGTCACTTTGAAGTGCTGCACAGTTGGTTTGCGGACAGTAGGCCGGTAGTGTTTTTGTTCGACAAAAACGAATTGGCGATGCTAGCGACTCAGTTTGAAGACTCAGCAGTTGTAAGTAAAATTAGTTTTTCGTACATAAATTTTTTGAAGATTCCAATAATACTTTTTCGAAAGATGAGTTGCTCAAGACTGATTTTTTGAGTGGCTTAAATCTATGAGAACTAAAGAGAATCCTTATTTTGTCGGGTATTACTTGCTGCATGATTTTGATTTTTAGTTGGTCGTTAGTTTTTATGCTTAAATTTGTTGTCGGAATTTAGGGCTTTAATAGGTCGGTCATTAGGTTTTACAATTAAGTTTGAATGTGAACCAATTTCTTCAAATTAATTTTTTGGATGAATGACCAGGATAAAGGTTTGATCTAGACACTTAACTTAATAAAGAGCAAAACAAACAAAATGAAGGAATGAGTGCCACGCAAGTTATGAAATGTTTGAGAACGAAGTTCAATTGTTAAATGTGTGAAAACTATATAGAGTCGGAACTACTCGATGAACGTAGTTCAATTTCTTGTTTAGGTCTTGATTATTTTTTTTCGAGTCAAGTCTCAAAATTTGTTCAGACTTAAATTTTCCTTTTTTGCAGTATGAATTGAAGTTCAGTTCTTTTCCTAATGATTAAAGGAAGGCAAACTTCGTTGTTTAATCGGCTACTATTGCTATAAAACGTTTTTGAAAAAGTTTCCGAGTTTGGCCCAATTTAATTTGGCTCAATTTTTAATATCAGACGAAATGGCGATTGTGGAATCCGCAGTTTGGTTTCATTGACACTTCCCCATTGAGTGCTGGCAATATTCAAATATTTCCCCAATTTAGGTGAGTATCAGTTTGGAAATTGTGAGGATTCTCCTGGACAAAGCGATTGAAGAAGATAGACATGGACTTGTGTTGAGAGATCTGCCTCACGTGTTGACGGCGATGGCCAATTTGTGGGATGCGATTGAACAAGTCAACGCACTTGGTAATAAGTATTGTACAACAAATACAATTGTATCAATAATAGTTATTTGAATTGAAAGGAAGATGATGTACAAAAATGACGGATCTTGTTAACTATTTACCACCTATGGTACCTTGTTACGAATATCCCGCCCCCCTATAAAGAAAGAATTGAACAGTTAAGCATATACGAATTTTGTATCTTGTTAACTTTCACCCCCCCCCCCCCCCCCCTCCCCACTATTGCAAAGGGGGGTGGAATAGTTAACAAGATCCAAAAAGACATATTCTACTCAAAGTGTTGCGAAAAGAGCTCCAAAACGTTATTTATACTTGATTCTCAAAAGTAAAATTGCATGCGGTGTCTAAGTTTTTAGCTTTATGGTCTGTTGAATATATATGTAAAGTTACCGGCCTATTAAAATTACTTGTTCATCCTATACTTGTTCAATTACTCGTTTATGTAAAACGCGTTAAAAAATCGAAAATTTCAAGTTTGAGGGGGGGTTCTCTTAACTATCCCCCACCCCTATTACAGAAGTGGGGTCAGATTTTAAAGAGATAGAGAATCCCCATTTGCTTAACCAATTAATTTAGTTCCTTGTGGGGGTGGTTTCTTAATAGGTACCATAGAGGTGAAATATTAGAAGATCCGTTTGAAACTACAGTCAAGTACAACAATATTCGACCAGTTCGTTTCCTGACACTTGGAATGAAATAAATTTAATTTAGATTGATTTCAAATTTCTTGTCCAGGGATGCCAGGGGAGCCCTCAGCTGGTAAGTGCTGCTGTGTGGCAGCTGTGCGCAGATGTCTGTACTTCCTCTGTGACATGTACAGACCCACAACCAACAAAGCGATCGACCTCTCCGACCAAACCACATATCTACTGAAGGAGTTCATGCTAAGCGAATGCAGAAACAAGCTGCCTGCTTAGCTCAGTAGCGACAGCTGTGATTGGTAGACGTTCTTCCCTGAAAAAGGAGAAGAGATTGAAAAACTTGAGTCGCGTGAACTTTTTTGACTGACCTGATTTGATTTGGTTTGATTGATTTTGTTCTGTAATAAAAGACTTTGTTTCTAGCGATGAGTTTGAGATAATGGCTATCTAGGACAGAAGTATCGAAGACTACAACGAGGAGAAGATAGTCAACAATCGGAAGCTGCTGCCACAGTATAACACGGTACGGTACGTCTGATCAAATCGGAAGTATCTAAAAAGATCAGAAATCAAATAAGACCCCATCTTGTAAAGATTTAGTGCGAGTTAATAATCAGTTAATTTTTTTGTTCTTCCTGCGAATTGCAGAGGAGCTATCAGTAGGCCTTGACAGGCCTGTCGAGGATAGTCCATTTGTATTATCTCCCCACATTCCAGACTGTAATATTTTGTTGAGCGATAAGGCGGTGCGATTGATCGAAATTCTTGAAAAGCAATGAAGTTACCAATTCATTGAAATTCATCGAGTGCTGCGCGAGCTTTGATTGATGAAATTGAAACGTGTCACATCCAATCAGAAGCATCCAATTAATGACGCAGAATAACAAGTCTTTTCTATATAAGCATCCCGGGACAACTCTGCCGGAGGCAAAATTATAATACGCCCACGACAGTCCCTTTTTTCAGTAAACTTCAGAATGACAACATTCCTGCGAGAAAACTTGAAATAAATTTGCTTTGATTTTTGGTTAGAATTAATCGAAAGTTCATTGGTTTTCAATGAAATGGTTTTGCATTGTGTGATCATTGTGAGGTCTTGAAAAAACATTAATCGCACACCCTTAGTGAGCGAGCTCGTTTTAGCTACTCAAGTCCGTTGTTTTTGCGTGTAGAACTTCCAAGTGGCACCACTTGCAGCCGAAATCGGCCAGGCTGTGGTAAACTTAGAGCTAGATGTCAAGTGAGAGCTCGTCCGCACTGTTTATCATTGCCATGGCCTGGTTCGAATTCGAATTCAAGATCTGACGATCTTTACACTTGCGAAACAAAGTGTATTAGTACGAAATTTCTATTTCTCCAACCTAAGTCGCAATGAAAGTGCTACCTTTGGTGGCACTTATGAATCGGTAAGCTGCGGTATATTTGATATGAAATAAGTTAACACCGCTGATGCATTTTTTATTCAACAAATGAACCAAAAAAAGTTTTGTTTCAAACAGCAATTATACGAAGTTCTATTTCAGAAATTTTCCAACTCAAAATATCTCGCAACTTTTTTGAATAGCATAATTTATTCATAGATTGGCTTTATGCTGTCGAATTTATTACATGCAACATTGTGTCTTTTTGTTTTTGTGCTACTCTTGCTGCATCGAATTGGCAATTTACTAGCATAAATAGCTGCGCTATTGATGGCTAGTTTTTAGGGATTTTAAGCATTCTTGGTTAGTTCGTGAGAGTCAAGCCATCGAGTTTTTGTCAATTCGAGGCTTATATCTACTTTTTCTTATTTCACTTGATAGAGCTGTTTTTGGTCGTGTTCTCGGAAGTGTTTGCGAAGCGCAGCTTCGCCTCTGAAGTGAACGCCTTGCCACTATAAATCCCGATGACAGTGGATATGCTAGCTGGGTATCATTTCCGAACTGGGCTAAAATAGATTCTAGACAAAATTTTTAAAAATTTTTTCTCGCAGAACAACTCAATATGGCAGCCAAATTAGTTTACTACAGAAAACAGCTACAATTGATCCTCAGTGCCTTAAACTGGGTCTAAGATCACAGACAATAAACGACAAATTAAACAAGGATAGCCGGTTACTGTGCAAGTAGCACAATGTTCCAACCATAGTCTTAAAAAATACAACAACGTTTTTTCAAAATTTTTGTTGTTCTTTTCGGCGTGGCGTGATAAAAGCGGAGCTGAACAAAAACTGGGGATTAGGTATTTTCGACTGCCATAATAAAATAAGCAAATTGGAAAACAGCTTTTGTGGAAAAATTTTGAGAAGAACGAAAAGAAAACAAAAATCACAAAAATTTTTCGCATTTTTTTGATATTTTGAGAATTTTGATTCAAAAAAGGCGCTAAAATACTCAGATTAAAACAACGTTACCCAAGTAAAGCTAAGTTTTTTCGTTTTAATTTAAGCTATTGCAAACTTTTAAGCAACTAAAACAAAACTGCTTGCTCGCTTTATTCGCTCGAAATAAGACGAAAATCAAACATTTCAATCAGGGTTTTCTCGACACTTCTGTAATTTCGACGCTGGAAAAACTCTTTTTAAATGTGGTTGGAATCACGACTGTTAGGGTTTAAATGTGATGCATCACTAAACCCAGTCCAATCATTATTTGTGTTACCTGATTTTGCCTGGAAAACAAAAAAAAACTAAAACCGACCCAAATACACTAAGTTCCTCCCCAGTTTCAATGATCGGAACAAAAACTACTTGGAAAAGGTTCCAATATAGGACTAAAAAAGTTCACGAGCAACTGTTTCACAGAACTGAGTGTCATCTAAGTATAAAAAACACGCCTGCAACACAATGTTGCTGGTTTTCTACCTTGGCCACGAAAGTCGCAGCCGAGTTTTTCGGTCGCGAATGTCTGGAAATGGCAAATCTTGGACGCGAAAGTCTGGACATGGGTCGCGATATTTCAGTCGCGCTATCTCCGTCTTAGTCGCCAAAGTCGCGACTGATCATTACGGTTGCGAAAGCCTGGAAATGCCAAGTTTCGATCGCGAAAGCCTGGAATTGCCAAAAATTTATCGCGAAAGTCTGGACATGAGTAGCTGACCTCAACCCGGTTCGTTGAAAATTTAAACGATTGCAATTGGCTGAAATTTTCCATCATTTGGCCCTTCTACCATTCAAAAGGATGTCATGGAAAAAGACCAAATTAGGACCTTCTGAAAGTGCGGTGATCGAATTGGAATAATTTAACTTCCTCCTCATCCAATGGAGTAGAGGGGGATGTTAACTTGGTTCCAAATGGATAATACTTGGGGTTCTAAATAGATGTTATTTTGAGTGTGAGTGAACCGAAGTAAAAAACGAGCCGAAGTATAAAAACCGACCGAAATTGCGCAGATTTTATCAACCAGCCAGTTACGTCACATGAATGAAATCTGAATGACTCTCGTAACTGTGACATAATTATTTATAAGACAACCGTGACAACTATTATTTAACAATTACGTATTTTCGGCTGGTTTGCACGGTAACTGGTTCATACTTCGGCTGGTTTATATAGCACCCATAACTTGATCTGTCGAATTTTTGAGAATTTGAGTGAACATACCTTGATATAGCAAGAGAGTCAACTGAGTTATTGTTATGTGTTATCTGTGTTATATAGTTATGCTAATCCGTACACATGCCAGTAGGTTGGCCAATCTCTTCTTTAGCTAAACGAGATTTATTAAATTGATAATTTTTTCCGCAGAACAATGTCTGGAAACTTGTAAGCCTCAAGGCAACTTCAAGAGATGCAAATTCACGACCTCCTACACCAATTTCCCCAACCCAGGCGTCGTGAGTCACAAGGCTGATGTGTTCTCCACTCTCAACTACCCCTACGAATATTCCAGAAGAACTTTGGGCAAAGCTATCATCAGTATGGCTACTTTAATGAAGACCAAGTTTACTAAGCGCTCATTGCTGGTTGAATGCTTAGTAATTTTATCCTAAGTTATGAGTCTCACCTTAGATCGTCAAGTTGTCTTGACAAAATTTAGAGTCGAAACGATAGTTAGAAAAGGTATGAATTAATTAGTTGGTTAAATACAAAGCACTGGGTTATTAGATTATATAAACGAATCGAACAGCTTAGAGAAAGATACCTATGAGGGGAGGTTGAGCTAATCTTATTTTGTTCATCAATATTTTATCTTCTTACAAAGGTCGATGGCTTATTAGTATGAATGGGTCGCCCTTGATTGTGTCCACTTCGGCACTTCTGGTTTGGTCGTCAGTATCGTCTTTGCCGTAGTCCTTTGGGTACTTGTTGTCCAGACTTCCTCAGGTGTGGGTCTCTCGAGTATCTCGATTTATAATTTTATCGAACTTTAAATGAGAATTTATTCTCTATTTTATTTGTGAAAAAAGGCTAGTTTAATTTTATTGTAAAAGCAGAAAAAAAAATTATTTACTTTGAAAAGGTCTGACTGAAGAGATCTAACTTGCTGCTTACTGAGCAAAATGAAACACTGAAGATTTCAGGCCAGTCCTTTTGCTCGTAAGCATAAACCGGCGGCTGATTCAATCTTTAATTATTCAGGTTTCACCTGCTCCTGTGTTCTCCCTTTCTTATAAGGGAATTTTCAACTAGTTTTTGTTTGATTTTTTCAAATCAAATATCTTTAACTTATTAGTCCTCTTTGATTAAAACCGCAGCCTTCAGTTTTTCTGATTAAAAATTCATATTACTCTCTCTGATGCATCATATTGCAGGTGCATCTCTGCTTAATCAAAGCAAGGAGAATTTCAGTGCAGCCGGCAAGACTGCTAAATATTTATTCACTTTGTTTCAAGTTAAAATTAAAAAGGACGTGTTAATGATCGCCGCCCTTTTAAAATAGTGAGCATGAAAAAATGAAAAAAATTGGACAAGTATTTAAAAAGGAGTGGATTTTCAAAACAAGATTTTATAGTCCTCATAAGAGTAAATCAGTCAATATCTGATTTAGTAAAATAAGGCTTTAATTTAAATGCCACGCTCCAATTTAATATTGGGTCGTTAAATAAACAATTACGACAATGGTCTTTTGGCTGTGTAGTATTTTAAATACTACAACTCACCGCTTTTCTTAGAAAATTAAACTGTTCGATTCTTACAGTTACCATGGTGAAAATTTAACACATTAATGATTAAATACTATAGTTATAACATTTAAAAAGAACAACAAATGAAAAAGTTATGTAAATAGGTTAGGTTAATGAACTCAAGTTTATATAAGGTTTTTGTTCTCAATAGCTCTTAATTTCTTCTAGAGCTTCCTTCCGGCTTCTAGCTCCACATTGTACGATCTGAGGATCGCTATTTTCCTCTGTGAAGCCTCGAGTTTTTGTTGCAACTTGACGATTTTCTTTTTTTTTATTTTGTTCTTGATTCGCAGTCTGCTCATCCCGTCCGTAACCTCT